CACGTGGGAAGGGCCGGGCGCAGCAACAACTCTGACGACAGCGAGCATAATTGTCACGCGATCATCAGGCTCGCAGTCGACGCTGACAAGGCAATTGTGGCAATTAGAGAGTCGAACGCGAAGTGTCAAGCCAGTACCGCATCAATTAAGACCCAAGAGGTGGCTACAGAAGTGAACAATTATCACACACACCCAGATGATCTCTATGAACTATAAATACCGTGCCACCTGTGCATGTCTCCACCCCATCTGCGCATGACCACGACTAAGTTATCATCGCCTATGATTAAGGATTCCCGAGGGAATCCGAAACGTCAGGCAAATAAAACCCTTGTTCCAGTGATCGCATCTTCTTCTTCTTCTTCTTCTTCTTCTTCTTCTTCTTCTAAATTTGTTTCCTAAGGTTGCCTCTTATTGGTTCTTAAACTTTCCATTTGGCTCCTCTTAATACGCATTTATTAGTAGATTACAGAAAGCATCCTACCGAAAGCGTTTGATCAAAGGAAACAACCGATTTTGGACTACTCATCTAAGTCTCGGAGCTTTTTTTTCCGAGTTGTACAGCCTTTTATTCTCAGCTCGGAGTGAGCCGTTGCTGTCTGAGTCACAGTCCGCCGCTCGGCCACTCCACACAAACAAACGATGCACTGACTTCGCAGTCCGAGTGGGAGTACAGTTGGACGACTGTGACAACTAAACCAAAAATGGCCATCTCAACTTCACTTAACTTGTCGGCTTATTTTTCGACTATCCATTACTCGTCATCATGCAACCTTCTGCAGACTTGAGTTGTAAGATAAAACGAAACTTTTCGCGCACTGTGCTTTACTTAGCGTTGTGTTTGCGCGATAGCTCAAATCATATGCTTGGAAAGCTCTCTCCATCTAGTGATCAAAAGATGGACTATGCGTCGGATAGAAGTGGTGGCTTACACGTCCGCCCAAACGAATGACCTGCCTAGGGGTCGTTAATAAAGTTTCCTTGTAATTATCTGAGGTCGTGAGGCTGAGAGTGGATTGCCCATAAGAAACTAAAATGAAAATAAGTAAGAAATGTGAGCCAACTGCTATTTTATATAATAACCATAAGACTTCCCTCTTGTGTCCAACCGTGCCCTTTTTGCAACATCACACTTCAAGCACATTCTCGCTCGGTTAGATTTAAAATATGCAAATGTCTACT